TCCTATTTGCCAAAACGAATTGTACACCGGCGTGTATTAACGCAGTGCACATATATTATATAGGTACGATGAATGGTCTACGTGATGAGACACCCACGCACAGTCATAAATCTGAGTAACAAATTCGAATATTTGACGTGCCAGCGTGATAAAAAAAAAAAAWAATAATAATAAGAATGTGAAAAAAATAAGACGCTGATGGCCAACCGACAATACGTGCATATTGACGAGCGAAATTTTTACAAAAAAAAATTTCTCAAAAAATTTTCAGATAGCTTCGCTGAGACATTCTTCGTCGCATGTTTGTCGAACCACGCGCGCTTATACTGCAACATATTAAATAAATTTATTATGTACAATATAGGTACGGCGTAATATTCTTGATCCGAAGACGATCGGCGGCAGAGTGGATTTATGTGTTCGGCCGTAGTGTTGTTATTATTATTATATTATCATTATAATATACGTTTACGATTTTTGTCGGGTTCGCCAGTAAATCTCAACTGGTTTCACAGAGCGGGTTACTAATCACCCTGGTTGACTAATAATTAGCGACTTGACAAGTTACTCAGTATTATAAAAGTGCCTATAATACACATATATGTATATAATAGGTGTACGGCGGCGGATAACCGGTTGCAGGCTGCTCCAGTGTTTAGTGTTTATATTCTCTTCTCATTTTAATTTTATTGACTTGTAAAATGAGAAAGTGCAGCGGCCGCGGATAAGCGCGACAGCCTAAATGACAATATGTATAGTGTTTTTATTCCGTCTATATTAGGATTCCGTAAAACGTGTCGCCCGCGTAYACAACGCCATCATAATATTATATAAGTAGGTACACGGGTCAGGTACCTAAAATTCACAATCGTCTAATCGTCGTGACCGCATAAAATATAATGTAGTCTTCTTCGTCTCAACGTCTGTCATCCGAGACTGCGCGGGCCACGTGGCGCGCGAACGACGACATGATAATTATAATATTATAAATTATAATGCACCTACGAGTTACGGCTATCGTGCCGCAACGATTTGGGCCATTTTCTGTCGACCGTCCAAAACGGACATTTATATTTATATACGAGGATGACATGCGTGAAGCACTCCGTATA